ATGGAGAGAACATTGCTTGCCCTGCTGCCCCCCCCATGAGAAACTTAGCAGTGTTACCTGGGGGAGTGGAGCAATGAGGTGGAAGACATAATTACAGACATTTTGGCTGTCGTGAGATTATTTTTATGATATATGTAAATTTTTAATTTTTAAAAATAGTTCACAAATTGAAGCAATGTGGAAAGAGGTATTTTATAAATTGAAGTATAATTAACATACAGCGTTACATTAGCTTCAGGTGTACAACATGATTCAATAATTCTCTACGTTACTCAGTGCTCATCACGGTAAGAATAGTCCCCATTTGTCACCAAACATTATTACAATATGATTATATTGCCTATGCTACTTGTCATCTCTGTGACTTATTTTATAACTGGAAATTTGTATTTCTTTGAGAAGGCCAATAATGTAGGCTAGCATGTATTTTTTAATAGATATCGTTTTAGAAATAATTGTTTTATTGTTGATTATTTATAGAAAATTACAGAGAAAATTCACAAATCAAGTAGATGACTATTTAGAATGTGCTTCACCTGAACTTGGGAAATGTCTTGTAATTGTAGAAATGGGTTTATTAATTTAGGAAAAATAATTGCATGGTAAAAAAAATAGTTACCTATTAGTTGAGGATACTCCTAATACAACACCAATTACGGGGATCTGCACGCAGACTTCAGCTTGGCTCTCCTGCCCTCTGGTGGTCATTCCTCAAAATGCAGACACAGCTGTATGCAGGTGGAAGGTCTGAAACTATTCGGACAACCCACGTGTCTGAACTGCACTCCCAATTTTTTAGATTTGAGGAACCTGAGCAATTTTCTCATTCAGGTTCCTCACTTTAATTTTGCCATGTCATCATTGTGTCTCGATTACACAGTCCCTTCAGATTCCTGATACAAAACTGAATTCTGGCATCTCTTGACTATTTGACTTAGCAGCTTTATCCAAAGCTACAAACATTTTCGGTAAAATTTTTTACATATATACTATAATCTTAGGCCTTATAAGTACCACACAAAAGGTGTTTTGCAAATAAAGAAACTAGTAAATGTACTTATTCTGTGTCTTACTATTAGATAAGTCCTTTGCATATTGTATTTTTTTTATTCCTCGTAACCACGCCATACACCTTGTGAAGTATACACTGTATGTTTCAGATTTCATGGAAATAAAGCAACATTGGGGAAGGCTGACAGAATGTAGGAAGTAGTACAGCCTCGGCCTGAAAATCAATCTGACTTTAGATTGTGTCGTTAACTTTTCTCCTTTTTAAAATCCATATAGTTAATTAATTTTCAATTGATTGTATATTACTTAATGAGAGTAAGTTGGTAGTGTGTTTTAATGTTTTAACATGCTCGTTTGTTGAAAGCAACATTTGTGTATCATATTTTTTCATATGCTGATGTGAGTCGCGCTCAAAGACCTAGACTCCTCTATAAAGTTTAAGAACCAGGCTCCACGATTTGATTTGATTTATTTTGTTTTTAAGATTCATTTATTTATTTGAGAGGGAGACAGAGAGAGAGAGGAGGAGAGAGCGCAGGCAGGGAAGGAGGGGCAGAGGGAGAAGCAGACTCCCCTGCTGGGCAGAGAGCCTGACAACGCAACAACATGGGGCTTGATCCCGGGATTCTGGGATCATGACCTGAGCCCTGGGATCAGATGCTTAACCGACTGACCCACCCAGGCGTCCCTAGGCTCCAGAATTTTAGAAAAGGGTAGATTTTAGAAAGTCTTAAAATACAGGTTTTTCATTTTTAACCTTCCAACTTCTTGAATTTTTCAAGAATTTAAGGAGAAACCTCAGGGAGGCATATGAGAGACTCGGCCATAAACAGGAAAGCTCAAGTCTGGCCATTTGTACTATGTCCTTTGTGAAAGAGTTTTAAAACAATCATGTAACTGGTTTCATGTTAATTTAATAATTGTAGCTACATGAAATACTTAAAACCCAATTTTTCTAAGTTCTAATGCAAGCGATTCCCACCTCGATCCCCAGGAGGTGGGTATTCTTGTTAACCACATTTTTGTAATGAGTAAACTGAGACGCATACAAGTCAGTAACTTTCAAGATTTCAATCTAGTAGATGATGGAGCAGGATTCATCCTGGGTTCTAGGTCAGGACACATCAACATGTTGCTCTACCACCTCATTTAAGATGGTCTACGCTTGTGATGGTTAATTTTGTGTGTCAACCTGACTGGTCCACAGGGTGTGCACATATTTGGTCAAACGTTGTTCTGAGTGGTTCTGTAAGGATGTTTCTCCATAAGATTAGCATCTTAATCGGTAAAGCAGATTACCTTCCCTAATGTGGACAGGCCTCAACCAAGGCCTGAACAGAACAGAAAGGCTGACTCTTCCCTGAGTAAAAAGGAATTCCTCTTGCCTGATTGCCTTTGAGCTAGGACACTGGTCTCCTGCCTTCAGACTTGGACTCAGACTGAATTACAACATTGGCTCTCCTGGGTCTCTAGGTTGTTGTTGACTGTTGATGTTGAGACTTCTTGGCCTCCATAATTGTGTGAGCCAATTCCCTACAATAGATACATATGCTGTTTATATAATACACATGCATTCTATATATTACTTATACATATACATAATTCCATAAATTTATACATATAAATATATATAATTTCTATAAATATATATATAATTTTATAATATAATTTATATGTATATATTCTCTGGAGAACCCAGACTAATACAGATTTTTGTTTTGAGAATGGGCATGGGGAAATACATACAAATATATATATATAACATATATATATAACATACATATATATAACATATATATAACATATATATGTAACATATATGTATATATATATTACCCTGATGTGTTGTAAGCTCCCAAGAATGTGGAAATACGTGTTATCTTTCCACTGCATATCCAGCACCTGTTATAATTTCTGCTGCAGGGTAGGCTTCCCCAAATTATGCATGTATTCATTGGCGAGAAATGCTAGATGAAAGAATACAGAAATAAAATACTTAATTCCTGGGGTGCCTGAGTGGCTCAGTTGGTTAAGTGTCTGCCTTTGGCTCAGGTCGTGATCTCAGGTTCCTGGGACACAGCCCCCCACCGGCTCGGCACTCAGCAGGGAACCTGCTTCTCCCTCTGCCTCACCCCGCTCATTCTCTCTCTCTCAAATAAATAAATAAAATCTTTAAAAAATTACTAGTTCCTGCCTTCAGGGGCCTCACACTCCTTAGGATGACATGCAGAATCTACATGGATAAAATCTAATTAACTGGGTGACTTCCATATTAATCTTAAATGGGTATGGACCTAATAATGGAGTTTCACAAAGTATGAATCTGAAGTTGATAGATTCCCTGTAAAGGGAAACAGATCCACAATCACAGTTGGAGATTTCAATACGCCGCTCAGCTACTGATAGAATAAATAGAAAACAACCCCATCCACCAGTGGGACACAGTTATTAGCATGTACAGAACACTGAACCTAAACAAAGCAGAACGCACATTCTTTTCAGGAGCACTTGGTGACGTTCGCCAGGAGAAACCATATTCTGGACCGCAAACTGAGTTTGGATGTCTTGAAGAGGACAGAAGAAATCCTACAGCATTCCTCCTGGCCTGGAAGCCTCCCCGCCGGCTCAGGCGGAGAGAACCCAGAAGGGAGAGGGCTGCATCCAGGGGTGACAGGCGGCAGGCAGATGTCTGCGATGACACGTCCCTGAGCCGGACGTGTCTGAGAGCGTGGGGGAGACGCAGGGGGAGAGCCGGGGTGACGACAGGGACTGGGCCCCTCGCGGAGGCAGGAGAGCCGCACCTGCTCCCCGCACCTGCTCCCCGCACCTGCTCCCCGCACCTGCTCCCCGCACCTGCTCCCCGCACCTGCTCCCCCGGCTTCCGGCGTGGGTAAGTGCAGGGACGACGATTCGGCTTACCAGTAACATAAGTAAAAATAACAGGCCCCTTCCGTTCCTACCTTCTCGCAAGAGGAACGCTGCCTCCCGCTCCTCTTCCTCAAGTCCCGCCCCTTTTGCCCACCGGCCGGGGGCGACGAATCTGCGGCCGCGGAACCGCCCCAGCAGCGCGCCGCGCTCCGGGGGGCGGAAGTAGATCTTTACGCGGAGCCGTAAAGCGCGCTCCCTTCCGGTTAACGACAGCCGCCGCGACCGTCCCTGCCGGCCATCCTCCGGTAAGCATCTCCGTCGGACCCTGGGCGTTTCCACAAATCTTCCCAGCTCGGGCTCTTCGCTGGGGGCGCCCCCTTCGCCTTGGATCATGTTCAAGAAGTTCGATGAAAAGGAAAATGTTTCCAACTGCATCCAGTTGAAAACCTCAGTTATTAAGGGTATTAAGAACCAATTGATAGAACAGTTTCCGGGGATTGAGCCGTGGCTCAATCAAATCTTGCCCAAGAAAGATCCGGTCAAAATCGTGCGCTGCCACGAGCACATCGAGATCCTCACGGTCAACGGAGAGTTACTGTTCTTTAGACAGAGAGAGGGGCCCTTCTACCCGACCCTGCGGCTCCTTCACAAGTACCCCTTCATCCTGCCGCACCAGCAGGTGGACAAGGGGGCCATCAAGTTTGTGCTCAGTGGCGCCAACATCATGTGTCCCGGCCTGACGTCCCCGGGGGCGCAGCTGTACCCCGCCGCGGTGGACACGGTCGTGGCCATCATGGCCGAGGGCAAGCAGCACGCGCTGTGCGTCGGCGTCATGAGGATGTCCGCCGACGACATCGAGAAGGTCAACAAGGGAATCGGCATCGAGAACATCCACTACTTGAACGATGGGCTGTGGCACATGAAGACGTACAAGTGAGCGTCCGGAGGGGCGCCCCGGGACTGGAGCTGTGGACGTGGTGCTGTGTCTGTGTTGGTGTCTGTGGGACGGCATGAAGAGCATTCCTCCGCGCTTACGACAGATGCTCAGAGGAACAAAAAACCAAGTAAAGATTTGGAAGGAGCCCAGCTGTCTGTATCTGTGTCCTTTTGCGCGTGTGAGTACGGGTGTGCGTGTTGGCAGCGGGGCGCTTCGTGGAGAGGCGCCGTGTCCTCTGCCCCAAGGGATGTCGGTTCAAAGGCAGGTGCATCATCTGTGGTAGAAAAGTAGATTTTTCAAAGCGAAGGCATGCGGTTGGGAGACAGACCCACAGTTGGGATCCAGGAGTTGGGAGGAAAAAATGACCGGAGAGGGGCCCGAGCAGCTCGGTTAACACAACACTGGAAGGATAAGCAGAAAGTCCAGTACAGAGTGTCCCGCAGGCATTAGTGACTGTCTGCCCGACAAGCATCATCCCATCCCCCCTTGCTGGCAAAACTCAGTCCGTCCCGGTTCCACGTGAGCCAGGAAAATTCCGATTAGTTAGGCCCACCGCAGTGCTCTGTTTCCCAGTGAGACGGAGTCATTTGTGGGTGGTCACGGGACCTGCGGCCAAGTAGAATCTTCCTATTTAGGAATCCCTAGGAATCCGTAGGTCCTTCCTCCCACGGTTTTGAGTTATTTACCTGGGCGGCCATGTGACCTGTGTTAGGAAGGGCTGCTTGAAGGTTTCTGGGAAAGGTGTGCAGGCTCTCAAAGATGCCTGGGGAGAAACAGCCTCCCTGCTCTGGGTGGACGTGGGCATGTGTGATTTTGCTCTTGCCGCACACATACACGCACACAGACTGACATTCACACACTGACATACACACAAAACCTTGATGAGCATCAAGTCTGAACATGGAAAGCAGCCATGCCCTTGCTGATGTATGAGCTGATGATTAATCAGCTGTTTAGATTCCATATACCGGGACTCTTTATTAAGGGATGTGGTGAAGTTATGTGAGATAAAACAGTTTTCTTACCAATTACTTCATCTTGACTTGGGTTTTCTGAAACTTAAAGCCAAAGTTATCTCAATTTTTACAGAATGGCATCATAGACACCCAGCTGAAAAATTGTGTAAAGGAGAGGAAAACAGGTCAACCGAAGGCTGATCGGCGACTTCGCCATGATCGGTTTCAGTGTCACTCCTATGAATGCAAGATAAATTGTGGTAGATTTAGGGGTGAATGGAAAGTGAAAAGGTAAAATGTGGATATTTAGACTCATGTTATTCCTTACAGAAGTTTGGTTGTGAATGAAAAGATACTGGGTAAAAACTAGAGGAAGGTTATAGTCAAGATATTTTGTTTTCGAGTCCAGATTATTTTTCTGTTATTTTTATTGTTGTTGTAGGTTGTTGATGGGATATCTAAGTATGTCTACTTGTTGAGGAGAAAGATCACTAAGAGTAGGAATACTCGATGGGGATAGAATCAATGGGCTAGAAAAGTGGGAAGGAATGTCTCCAAAAGGAGAGGAGGGGCTGATCTGCCCTCATAAATCTGCACATTTGGATTATGTCCGTTCATCACAGAGTTGTCCTGTAACAACTCAAACTCTCCTCATTAGAACACTATTTTTTCCTCAGAGGATTAGGGCTTTTGCCCCGTTTAACTGTCTACCCCAGTCAGCACCACTCTGGCCGTTGGTGGACACCTGAGGAGGCCCTGGAAGCATCTCATGATAATATTCGGGAGCGGCAGTGACTGACGAACACGGACGGAGACACTCAAGGTAAGAACCCTACAATTCTTTCACTGTGTCGCCACCAACTATCTCCACCAGAAGTTGAAAGAGGACCCTCTGCATCTATTTTAAGCCTTCTTTCAGGACTCCTCACTCATGCACATGCATGCTATCTTCCATTATTGGTCAGTGATGCTGATCCTTGTATTGATACCAATCCTACCAAACAACTCACGGTAGAAATCCTGCATACACATTGGAAGGGATGGAGGGCAAGAGTTAACATGACCTTCCTGGAATGTCATACAAAATTTGGTGTGTATATTCAGGCATAGATGTATTTATTAAAGCCTTCTCTACATTCATCATACGTTTAAGGTGATCTGTGAGCCAAAAGGTTATTATGAACAATTAAAGTAGAAGAGGATTGTCTCTACTTACTCTTGGCTAATACCAATGTCTAATTCGATGGTGAGGAGACGGGCAAATACAAGTGATAGTCACATCTTACCTCAAGAATCTGCTCACTCCAGTGCTGTTTCATCCAGAATAGTTCAACAAACATTATTGGGTACTTGCTTTGGGGCTAGATACTGGGCTGGAAGTAAGATGCAGAAATATAAAATATCACCCTGTTTTCCAGGAGCTTAGTCTTGTTAGGAAGGCAAACATGTAGATACATAACTTAATTTCAAATATGTGTGTATGTATATACATCTACATATAGTAAATGTATGAATTACTTATTGTAATATGGTATGAATGAGTGAGGGAAAGTTGTCTCTGCCTCGAAAATCAAAGAGGATTTCTTTTTTTTTTTTTTTTTTTTTTTTTAATGAGAGACAGAGAGCATGAGAGGGAGGAGGGTCAGAGGGAGAAGCAGACTCCCCGCCGAGCAGGGAGCCCGATGCGGGACTCGATCCCGGGACTCCAGGATCATGACCTGAGCCGAAGGCAGTCGCTCAACCAACTGAGCCACCCAGGCGCCCCAAAGAGGATTTCTTAATTAGAGACTGTCTCAGTAGAAATGTTAAAAAAAAAGATTAAGGATGTTTTCATAATGAAAATGGTGAAAAAAATTCCAGGAAAAGAAATAGTGTGAGCAATGCAGTAGAGTCACAGAAATAGAAGCGGCTTGACTCCTGTAGGTCATCATTTTCCAGGAGAAGAGATGAAACTAGAGGCTTATGGTAGAGACCCACTTTTAATGTGCTAAAGGATTTATGTGCTTACAGTTGAAATGGGTCTTTACAAGAGTGTTGAGAAGGAGTGTAGCATGAGTGAGATTACAGTTTGGGTAGATGATAGTGGGAGAATGGATTCGAGGGGACCTGGGACTAGAGGAAGTAACTAATATTGCAGCATCGCAGATCCTGCAGGCAAGAGACGAGGACACTGATTCAAGGGATTTGAATTATTCTAAACATTTTTGTGGAGGAAAACTTAAGACATTTACTGGGAAGAGGAAGTCTCTACTTGGTGGAAAATGGCCCCATAAATAGAACAGGAGCCAGGAGGGGGATGGTTAGGGCAGGGCAACAGAAGAGGAGAGGGACATCATTCTGGTGATGCATATGAAGTATACATTTCTTACGGGACCTCCAAATGGGACTACCCAACAGACGTACAGGTAACAGGTGTCTGGAGAGCAGGCAGTGCCAGGGCTTTGATGCAGATTTCTGAGCCGTTAGTATGCAGATGGTGGTTAAAATGATGAAAAGTAAATGCTCGTGAGTTTTAAAAAGAGGAGGCTGGAGATGGAATGTGTGAGTGGAGGAAGATCTAGCCACTTAGAGAACGAAGAGGACAAGAGTCAGTGGGACCATTAATCCTATGACCCACTAATTCCTGGGAGGAGTAAAGCGGTTTCTTTCAGCTCTAGAGAACTAAGTAAATGCCTAGAATTGGTGACTTATAGTGTCTGGAAAATTTTGAATGGGACTCACTGGGACAGAAAGAGGCTTGTCCGTCTTCAAATATACAGTGCCCACTGGTGGCAGAAAAGGGGGACCTGTGCATTTTCCCAGCAGTCATTCTTGGCCAATCCCACTAGACTTGGGTTGCTATTTGGACAGTTAATGTCCCTAATTCTGGCCAGCCACCTTGAAAATCTATGTAACCTCAGATTCAGAGAAAAAATTTGTGTTGGGCAGGCTGTGCATTCTGGCGCCGAGGACCTGGCAAGAATGCAAGGCTCTGACCACGCAGAGTCACTTTCAGCGTTGTATTGGCAGGCGTTAACCACGAGGGATGAGGTGACCCCTTCCTCTGGAGAAGGAGCAGCCTTGCTTCTGCCCGTAAGAGCCGCGGATGCAGCAAGCTTGGACCCCCTCCTGCAGCATGAGCCCCTGTGTTTGCAGTCATCACCTGTGGGGTGTGAAGGTCCTGGGGAGTCAGTGCAAATGAACATGAAGCTCCGGCTGCTGCTTTTCTCATGACTCCGCTGTCCTTTGTCTCTGGCTGCGCAGCCTCGTGCCTTCTGCCTGCGTTCATGAAGCAATCTAGCTTGCTGGTGTGCAGGTCGGGTGAAATTGGAGACCCTGCACAGTTCTTGACAGTTTGGGGGATGAGGATGGGATGCTAACTGAGACATGGCTTCTGGAAGAGAGAAAACGAGGCCAGGCAAGAGGACTTAAGACCCCTCAGGATCCTGTGACAAAGGCCCTTGTTGTACCAGCAGCGGGTGAGAAGGGGAAGCGGGGCACTGCCCTCTCCTGTCTGTTCAGAAATGTGTAGAGGCTGAGCAGCGAGAGACAGGATTGAAACCAGCCTTTCAAATGGCACCTTGGTGGTCACTCCCTCCCTCCCGAGTGAAAGAACGGGATGCTGTCACTACCAAGGGCAGGCCCCCGATTCTAACTGAAAGGTGATGTGGTTTTGATTGCAGAGTCAGGGGTCTCCAGCGCTGAATTAAATGATGTCCACAAGGGGATGGAAGGTTTTGGAGGGAAAAGTTTGTTTATTGACCTGAACAGGCAGCCTCTGGAAACCAAAAGTAAATGCAAAACCTTCCTTCCTGTTCCTTGCTTCCTACACTGTTCCCTGAGGCCCTCATGCCTCCCTCCCTCTCTCCTGCTTCAGCTGCTTTAGGAACAAAGCCAAATGAGTTAGCCCCTGAGGCACAGGTGTTAAATCCTTGTTCCGTGTTAGCATTTTGGGGGTGGTTGTGGGGAGCAGCATCTGAATTCAACTGATAGGTCTCAGAAAATTCACAAAGAAAATGGTAAGAACCAGCTCACTTATGAACTAGGTGACTAGGGGCGCCTGGGTGGCTCAGTCAGTTGAGCATCCGACTCTTAATCTCAGCTTGGTTCTCGATCTCGGGGTCATGGGTTCAGGCCCCACGTTGGGCTCCATGCTGGGTGTGGAGTCTACTTAAAAAAAAAAAAAGGTTGCTAGAAGAGTACTGTTGTACAGGAACAATTTTACTTCTACCCTTCTAGCTTCTGTGGCTGGTCAAATAGTTACAATAGCATAAGACAGGTTAACAAGAGAAAACCAAATTTAATTATGTATGGGAGCCCCATAAAGATATGAAGTCTCACAAGGCAGCTCTGAAGCTTATATAACATCCTGAGTGATAGTGAGGGTTGGGGGCCTGGGGAGACAAAGGGAAGGAAGGCTGTTCACAAGAAGGCAGAGGAGGTGTTTGGAGAATAAAGGTTTTCCTGTTATCTACACAGTTTCTTAGGTCAACTGGCTATCTCTGGTTAAAAGCTCTCTTCCTGGTACCAGACCCTCTTTCCCATGTAAATTTAGGCAGTTGAGAGAAAGGTGAAGAGCTTCTCCTGAATCTGCTGGGTTTTGATCGCCTTTAGCTCAAAATAATCCTCGTGCCAATGTGGCATATATTGGGGAGACTCGTCCTGAAACCCTTAGTTCTGTACTTATTAAAGTAATTAAATTTGTAGTTAAAGTTCTTCAAACAAAGAAAACTCCAGACCCAGAAAGTCTCACTGGTGAATTCCACTAAACATTCAAAGAAGAAATAACAAAAATTTTACAGAGTTTCTTCTTTAATAAATAAGTTTAGGGGACGCTTCCCAATTCATTTTATGAAGCCAGTGTTACTCAAAAACCCAAACCAAAGACATGACAAGAAAATAAAATCAGACCAATATCCTTCATGAACATAAACACAAATATCCTAAAAAATATTAGCAAATTGAGCTAGAAATATGTAAAAATAGCAAAACATGGGGTTTATTCTGGAAATGAAAGGCTGGTTGTCATGAGCGAGCCATAAAGTCACACGCACGAGTTGTGTCTTTCCACAATGTCAGCTTTATTCAATCATAAAGCAAAGTTAAATCACAATTACAGAGCAGGTTCAGGATTCCAAACTCAGTGACATTTCACCATGTGATTAAACTTGGCTTCTTACACAGCACACAAAGCAGGACATGAGACAAGCCACACAACAAACAAGACAACAGAAGGGTGCAGGAAGTTACCGAACCAAACGCCAAGTCAGTCTGTGGGCGTGCAGTTGAGATGAAGCCTCGGTCTGGCCGGGTCAGCTCTCGGCACTTACTGCTGCTTATGTTCAAGCAGTGACGGGTCTCAGTTCTGTTTGGAGATCCATCGGGCAGAGCCTTTGGCCGCAGCTGCCTGTTTTAAGTGGTCAGACAGAGATGGGTCAGGTCTGAAGAGTCTGACAGTTTGCTGCCCAAGTCCTTCCCTTTTTAAAGGGATTTAGTGGGCTTTGGGGTCCCTACAGACCTCTTCTGGTTCTGATCATTATCAGTTCTGGGTGTCCGCTGATGCCGGTCCCGTTGATATCTCTTAGCTGCGGTACCTTAACTGCTCGAGTCATTGCTTGACACGGGTACCTGCTTGACATGAGAGACTCCATTTTGCTCTCTGCACTGGTTCAATGTTCAGAACTTAATTAATGTAATGAACCGTATTAGTAGGTTAAAGAAGAAAAAGCACATGCTTGTTTTACTAGATGCAGAAAAAAATTGATATAATTCAATATGAATTGGTTCAATAAAAGAAGGTTTCCTCAATCTGGTAAAATAGATCTACAAAACATCTACTGCTCACATTATATTTATTGGTGAAAGGCTGAATGCTTTCTTCCTAAAATCAGGAGCAGGACAGAGATGTCCCCTATTACCACTTATATCAGTCATTCTACATGGTCCAATAGGGGAAGAAAAAGAAAAGACATACAGCTTGCAAATAAAAAATAAAACTGTCTATTCACAGACAGTATGATAGTCTAAGTAGAAAATCCAAAAGAATCAATAAAAAGGTTTCTAGAACAGATATGTGAGATTAGCAAATCAATTTATTCCAAAATCAATTGCATGTCAGTATGCTAGCAATGAATATTGGAAATTGAAATTTAAAAATAGACCATTTTCAGTAGCATGGAAAACTTGAAATAATTATGTATCAATCTCACAGAGTACGTGTATGATCTGTATGTCAAAACCACACAAAACACTTAGGAAAGGAGCCCAGATTAAAGGGAACCCTAGCAAGCACAGAGGTATGCTCTGTTCACAAACTGCAAGACTCAATAAGGTGGTAATTCATGTGGGAAACAAAAGCAAAGGAAAAAACCTCGATTACCTTTCTGGCTACAGCCTATTGACAAGTCCTTGAGTCAGGCAGAGTGACCTTCCTCTATGAACTCAGCTGCCTCGATGTTAATGCTTTGCTAAGGGCAAAAGGTAGTCTTAGCCTGACCCCCTGGGATCCTGAAATTCAACATATAAAAATTACTTTGGAAACTTCTTTATATCTACCCTCCAAGATATATGTTGGCAATCATCCCCCAAGCATACGACCCACCGATATACATCTACAAGGTCTCATGACTAGGGTTTTACTAGACAGTAATAAATGACCTTTTCCTAACAACAGCTAGCCCCTCAAGGTCCTGGAAACCTTACTTCCAAATTCCTTAGAGGCTTACGCTCTCCCCAACCCCCTCCCAACTTGAAAGTATATAAATAGTCACCTATCACAACCCCAGAGCAGCTCTTTCTGCCCACGGGTCTTATGCCCATGCTTTAATAAAACTACTTTTTTTGCACTGAAGACGTCTCAAGAATTCTTTCTGGACTGTTCACTCTGAACCCCAACATTTCTACACATCAGTAATGTCAATTCTTCCCAAACAAATGTATACATTTTATATAATTGGTGTCAAAATCACACAAGATTTTTCATAAGAATTGACAAACTATTTCTAAAGTTTCAGGGGCCATTAGAGGGCATGGAATAGCTGAAAACATTTTGAAAAGAGAAAAAAGTTGGGGGCTTACACCACCTGACTCAAGGCTTACTATAAAGTGATGATAGACACGTCAGTAGGGTATTAGCAAAAGGATAGACATGTGAATTAATAGAACTGAGAAGAGAGTCCAGAAACAGACCCACTAAGCATTGTCAAAGGGTTTTTTACAAAGCTGCAAAGGTAATCCAATTGAGGAAAAACAGTCTTTGCCATAAATGGTGCTGGGGACATCCCCATGCAGAAATATTGGCCCTCAGACCATCCCTTGCCATGTAAACAGGTGTTAACTCAAAATGGATTATAGACCTAAATGTATTAAATTTCTAGAAGCAAACATAGGAGAATGCCTTTTTGACCTTGAAGTCAGCAAAGACTTCATAGACATAACACTAAAAGCACTATCCTTAAATGAAAAAATAGAATTGAAATTAGGAATTTCTGAGTTGAAAGACAGCTAAGAAAATGAAAATACAAGCCATATACTAAAAGAAAATATTAGCAAAACATATGTTTAATAAATAATTAGCCTTAGGAATATAGCAAACTCTCCAAATGGTGAAAAAGCAGAAGCATTAAAAAACTGGACAAAAATTTGAACAGATACTTCACCAAATAGGATATATACACGTGAAAAGATGCTCAGCACCTTTAACCACGAGCGACATTCAAATTAAACCACCGTGAGACACCACTACATATCTGTTAGAATGGACAGCAACAACAGAACCCTGAGCACGTACGTGTTGGTGAAAATGCAGAGTTACTGGTAGGAATGCAAATGGTATGGTCACATTGGAAAGGAAATGTGTAAATGGGTTTATTTGTAACTTTCCCGAACCAGAAAAACAGGAACATTCCTACCATTGTCACACGTTTACCTGCTCCCTGCTCTCAACCTGTATTTTACTGGGAATCTTGTAGTGGCCCCTAATGGCCAATGAGGATTTTGAATATTACAAATCGAGGTTTTCAAATTGTGAGGATTAACGATCATGCACATGTTGGCACATTTTTCTTTTACGTCTACGCACTTTCTCATTTTTTAAAAAAATCAGAGTCTACATTTACTGTGGGGCCCCAGTCCCTTCATTTCATCCTCACATGATAAACTCCAGGAAAACGTTAAAACATTTACAAAGAGCATGATTGCAATTCTTGCATGCTCTTTCAGCAGAGCTAAATTCAGGATATAATTATTTTCTTTAAAAATTCAGTTGGCTCAACATATTTTCAAAAGAGGAAATTCCATGGCTTTGGAAAAGCACATCTGTATTACAGAGAAAACATTTTCTAAGCAGGAAAAGTCTTTCTGACTATGCAAGATATCAAATTTTCAATCGCATGTTTTGGGATTATTTCTATCCAAAGACTTTTAGTTGGAGCGATTTAGAAATGTGGGCACTCAAGTCATGGTACTGTCAGAAGCTTAGCCGAACAACTGTGAATGCTATATTAAATGATTTTCTTAGGGCAAAATAGAGGCTTTTTAACGTGAGCTGTGCACTTGGCGTGTGCCTGAAGATATCCTTGTCTTTCAAAAGCATGAAACCTGCAGCTCTTTTAAGGGCTCCTTGTGGACACATGGGCCGTTGGTAATGATGTCTCTGTTCCTTTGAGGTCAAATGTCAATTGATTCTCTGAAGTTTGTGTTCACCTCTGTATCTCCTTAAAAATCGACAAGAGTGTACAGTAGAATAAAAAGATCAAATGGAAATTGTCCCTTTTGCAACAACACTGGTGAACCTGGCCCTCTGTCATGCTGAGTGAGTGGTGTCAGTCAGTCAGAGAAAGGCAAATACTATAGGGCATCACTTACACGTGGAATCTAAAAAAGGCCAACTCGCAAACAATGAATCATGGAACACTACATCAAAAACTAATGATGTCATGTATGGCGATTAACATAACGTAATAAAAAAAAATGTAAAAAAATAAATAAATAAAAAACCGTGAATGTTGGGGGGAAAAAAAAGCCTACCAAAACTAACAGTTGATTTACTTGAAATCTAATTTTGAAAATAAATTTTATGTCATAACAATTAAAAAAAGAAAAAAAGTCCAACTCATTGAAAGGGAAAGTAGACTGGTGGTCGCCAGGGGCTGGGGGTGGAGGGAATGGGAAGGTGTGGGTCAAAGGGAACAAGCTTCCAGTTACACGATGAAGAAATTCCAGGGATCTCATGTCCAGCATGGTGGCTCTAATGAATAATCCAGTACCACATACTTGAAATTTGCTAAGAGAGCAGATTTTAAGCAGTTGCATAAAAAGGTAATTATGTGAGGTGATGGGTGTGTTAGCTTGATTGTGGTGATCGTTTCAAATCGTATCAAATCAGCATGGTGTACACCTTCAGTACATTACAATTTTATGTGTCAATTCTACCTCTGTAAAGCTGGAAAAAAAAAAGGAGTGGTGAGATGAAAAACTGGTGTGGACAATGGACTCTATCACTGAAACTTTGGAGCGAGCTGCCTCCCCCTGCTGGTCACTGGTCTTCATTACATTTCTCCTGCCCCTTCTGGAAGGAGGTGTGGTCCACACTCCAAGCCCTTTGGAGGCCTTGTGTTTCCTGATAGCAGGAGCTGTGAGATATTCCAGTCCCCCAGTCTGTGTGTCCTGATGTTCCTTTTCCACTCCTCAGAAGGAACCAGAACCCGGAGCTGTGGTGTCACAGCTGGGCCTAAGAGGCACAACTCGATAACTCTGCCATAGACCGTTTTGAAAAAAGTCCCAGTATCATAGTTTTTGTAAAGAATACAGAAGTACTAAACCTTGTTCATGTTGCAAGGTGTTGGAGATAACCTCCCTTCATTTAGAGGATGAGACTACGGAACCATGGGAAGATGAACAAAGTTGGTCCTGGGTTTGGACATCCTGAGCTGTGGAGACTTCTGGAACCATTGGATTAGGTGGTAATTAACTTTGCATAGCTGCTACCACCATTACTCCAGCCTTCCTTCCCTGGTGCCCCTTCTCTAAAAACCTACACAGTCTTCCCTCTGCAGCCTCCCTTTCTCCCCATACACCTTTAAAAACATCAGGAGTTTATGAGAAAACCCATCTGTGATAGTATCATAGCCTCTTTGGAGATGACAAACTCGAGGCGCAGAGGGGCTAAGCCAATCAGCCAAGGTCACAGAACCTGTGCACGGTGGGGAGGGGTTGTCCTCCAGCATCTGTGAGCTAGTCCATGGACGGCACCACGGTATTACCCTTACTGATTCGTGTTGTCATTTCACTTGTTAACCCCAGAGGCACGAGGGCACTTCCATTCGTTTCTTATTGCTTACTGGGGGAAAAAAAAAAGTGCTAGAGATTCTTAGTTTTCAATATGCTTGTCTGGAAAAGCTAACGTTCTCCAGTCCGGCCAACCTCTTTTCCCCTCTCTCTCGCAGACTTTGTATGGACATTTTGATTCCAGTTATTCTTTTATCTTGAGTTTGCTCTTCCCTCCTGGCCTAATTACATTATTGCTTTTCTTCAAAACTTAATGGGAGTTCTACATTTCCTCTATTAGATTCCCTTTTCTTATTTTACTCACCCAAAATCAAATCTTCTGAAATCTTACCAGAACTTAATGTCTGTATATCTCATTTTATCACATTGGCCTCAAGGAATCAAATAAAAGCTGCATTGATTGTCACCCAGTTGCAAAACCACGGTGCTGGGTACTATCAGGACTGCAAAGTGGGACGAGCAGAGTTCTTGCACTCACTGAATTGATATATGTGAAGGCAGAATATAAATAGGATTTTTTTTTTTTCCCGAAACTGAAGGTATGCGCGATAAGACAAGATGACAGCAAAGGAGCTGACCCTATGCAGAGGGTGTGTGAGGGAAAAACCACTTTATGCGGGAAGAGGAGGAAGAGTAACTGGAGTCTGACCAGTCAAGCAGGATTTATGGGGGAGACCCACGCAGCCTGGAGGGCAGAAAAATGTAACTTGTAATCCTTGAGGGCAGAAGTGGAAGATCAGAACGGAAAAGGTGGATTGCAACCACCCAGGAGAGGACTTTGAGTTCTCAATCACTGAGTTCACTGAAGGCAAGAGATCGCCTATTCTTCTGATCCTACCAGTGGAATGTTAATTTTGAGAGTGTGTGGCGGGAGAGACTAGGGAGAGAAAACTCCCGGTGCTCCAAACGGGACGGGGCCACGGAGGGCTGGAGCCCTGCACTTGGAGGGAGAGGGACAGGGAAGGAAAAGGGAAGAGGGTGACAAAGTTATGACTAGGAGTTATCCACACATGGCTGTGTGTGTGTGTGTCCATGTGTGCGTGAGTGTGTGCGTGTGAATGTGCACGCGTGTGAGTGTGCGCGTGCATGTGTGTGCGCGCATGTGCACGTGCCTGAGAATATTTATATTCCGAGAATTGCGCAGGACAACTCGATGTGGACTTTTTCCTACAGAATCCCCAAATAATGACCGATTCAGTAGGAATAATAAAGTGTGTTATCTGACATCTCTCGCCCAGGAAGAAGTACTCTTTGGCAGACATTCTTCGCTCCCTTACCTGACCTGCATTGCCTTAGTATCTGAACTGTGTCTTTTTTTTTTTTTTTAAGATTGCATTTATGTATTTGAGAGAGAATGAGAGTGAGAGAGATTACAGAGGGAGAGGGAGAAGCAGATTTCCCAAGGAGCAGGGACTCCGATATTCGGCTTGATCCCAGGACCCTGAAATCATGACCTGAGCTGAAGGCAGACACTGAACCTACTGAGCCACCCAGACGCCCCTGAACTGTGTCTTTTTAAAACCATCCATACTACACACTGGAAAGAACAAACACCACCCATATGATTAGGGAACAATTTGTTTGCTTGTTCTTTTTCTTTTTTTTTTAATGGCAATGTGAACTACAAAATCATATATTCTTTTAGCACTAGAAACATGAATGATTTAAAACATGTGGTTGAATTCAGGTAAAATAAAATTGGTGCAGAAATCTGGCTGTGAAAAACAGCACCAAAGAAGAACACAATATGATGTGCAGGGTTTTTCCCCATAAAACTCTAGTTCAGGAACGATCACACATACGTTCATATATATTTAAATACCTAAAAATTAAGAAATATATGAAATAAATGTGCATAGAAGCTGAAACATGAAATTATGGTAGAATGGGTATGTAGTATAGTTTATTCCCTTAGAATATTTCTTTTTTTTTTTTAAAGATTTTATTTATTTGAGAGAGAGAGAATGAGAGAGAGCATATGAGAGGGGTTAGGGTCAGAGGGAGAAGCAGACTCCCTGCCGAGCAGGGAGCCCGATGTGGGACTCGATCCAGGGACTCCAGGATCATGACCTGAGCTGAAGGCAGTTGCTTAACGAACTGAGCCACCCAGGCGCCCTCCCTTAGAATATTTCAAGGCTTGAATTTAATAATGCATTAAGTTATTAATAATAAAACATTTTTGTAAAGTACATATCTCAATTTTAATACACAACACAACAATCCAATAATGGAGAAGGCCTCAGCATTTCATATAGCTTTTAAAACTTATAATCTTTCATTTTACACCTATAGGCAGATGTTTAAATAAGAATTAGTTATTTTAAACATTAGGAAATACAATTTTTATAAAGTACTGCACGTTGGATACTTCCTGCCTAGACAGTTACACGGGAAAGGACCGCTCCCCCCCAACACAACGTACTACACAGATCAAGTCTTTCCATTTATTTTAAAGTTTTTATTCATTTATTTGAGAGGGAGAGAGAGCTCGAGCACGAGTGGGAGGAGGGGCAGAGGCAGAGGGAGAAGCAGACTCCCTGCTGAGCAGGGAGCTCCACTCGGGGCTCGATCCCAGGACCCCAAGATCATGACCTGAGCCAAAGGCAGACGCTTCACCGACTGAGCCATCCAGGCGTCCCTGAGTCTTTTCATTTAAAACAAATATTTTGAACAACATAATCATAACAGTGCCTGAAAGACAAACTGCTTCTTTTGAGGAGGGAGGAGGATGTGATTAGGAAAGAAAATGTAATAAACAGATTTAGATAATTAGTTGGAAGAAATAATCAAAAGCCTTATGTTGTTAATTTTCAAAATTCATCTGCAGTCATCAGCTTAATTTATGCATTCATTTATTC